TGTGTTCATCATTTAGTGCAGAATTGCACTTGAACCAACTTGACTGCTGCTTTCCCAAGCTGATATATTAGAAGCTTTAAAAGCTACCAGTACATTTATGTCTTCACTTAAATATGGAAGTGGAGCTCTCTCTGGAATAGTAGACTATTTAAAGTTCCATAATAACATCTGAAGAAATAGTCTGAAAGCAGTTAAAGAAAACAGTTAATGAACATAGCACTACATGAAAAAAGGGGAGAAGGTCAAAGTGTGTTTAGTAGATCTTTTTGCTTTGATTTGAAGACTACATTTCCAGTTTTTATATGATTTCTCTGTGCAGAGATTGGAGTTATGTTATGAAGCTGTTAAGGTCAGAAGGTGAATGAAAATCAAGAAAAGTTGAAGATAAAAACTCTTCAGTGCTCTGAGGAAGAAAAAGTGCTGTACTACCAAATACACCTGTAAACTATTGAGGGGAAAAAAAAAAAAAAGAAAGAAGAGTTCACTTTATAACTTTTAAGACTGGAAATGTTTTTTTCCTGGGATGATTGTTAAACTCTTTAAACTCCTGATTTTTTTTTTTTTTTTAGTACTCAATTCACCTTTCAATTCCCTTTATGCTTTTGCAATGTCTGTGATGAGATTTACACAGAATATTTTCTTGAAAAGTCTGCTAAAATGAGACGAATTTTCACAGATTATTTTCTTTGAGCTTTTGAGGCCTTAGGGGCAATATCTTACCTCTTTCTAATAGATGCAAATGACAGTAAGATTGGAGACTGGAATCTAGGCTTTGCCTGCAAAAAATATTATGACTTGCAAAACCATAAATTGAATTTAATATTAGTAAAGGATCTAGGGGGCAGGAATATTTGTTTACTGAGCAACTGATTTTATGCACCTATGAATTTTTCATTATAAAAAAATTAAATGTTTTAATGAAAGCAGTTCAGAACCTAGCAACATCTACGAGTAGTTTTCTGACAAAGATCTCTAGAGGATGATGCCTTACAATAAATCTGAAGTGACTTATATGATGCTGATAAGTATTGAGGCAGTTTCTTGTATCAGGATAATGTCAGGATATTCTGAACTGAAAGTCAGAGATAGTTAAGAATTTCTCTTCTGATTTTTCAAGATTATTTACATTTTTACTGGTCTTCTCCCAGAAAATAACAGAATTTTTGTGTCCTGTCTAGCATACTTCTCAGTTAAAATACTCTCTAAGTTCTACTGTTTTGCCATGTGTTTGTTCTTTGTGCATAAAAACATATATTATGTTTTTATTTTTTAAATAGTTGGCTATATAGTATGCATGTATTCCATCAAGGATTTAATCCTTGATTATTACATATTTTTATTGGGTTGTATGCATAATGAAAAATTTGCCATCCACTTTGCAGTGGTCAGCAGCCAATGTATGTGTTTTGGCATTTATGTGTGTTGCTTTATACAGAATAGGATTTATGTTCAAAATCAAAATTTTCTCTAGCTTTCTGAAAAAAAAAAAAAAAAACAAACCCTCAGAGTAAAACTTTCTTTTTAGCTGCTTCTTGCTTAGTGATTAGATGGGACTGTGTTTTGCTAGGCCTTTTGAGGTAGTGGGAGGAGAGAGCATGTTTTGAAAGCAGAGAGCCAGAACTGTTTCAGATAACCTTTGCCTTTGGCTAAACACGTCTCATGATTTGTGGGAAAACCACAATGTTGGTGTTGGTGGTTTTTGCTTGTTTTGATTTTTAGTAGTTTTGTTTTGTTTTGTTTTCTGTGCTACCCAAAGAAAAGAGCGTATGTCTTTGTGACTTTGAAAAACTTTTGCGTTACATCCTTTGGTTACCATGCATCTCTTCAAAGGGATGTCATATTAAATTCCTTTCAGAGGAAGGTCTGTAGATTGTTTTGCTCTCCCCTTTGTGAGTAAGTACTGAAGTAGTCTTGGCCCACAGTATTCTAACAAGAGAAACCGAGAGCTTTATTGTGAATTGTTCGTACGGATGACAGTATCACCTTTCTGTCACTCTAGATCTAAATCCTAACCGTATGTACTTCCCTTAGTCTCCTTTTGTCCTTTAATCTACATCTGTTTCCTCAACTTCAAGGTTCCCATTTTCCAAGCTTTTCCAGCTCCTACATTCATAACACACAAGCTACACCACTTCCTTGGTCATGTCCAGAAAATGCATGTGTATCTATTGTTTGCTTCTGAGCTGCATCAATCCTTTGTGTAGCTACTAGCTACAGCACCAGAAGGAACTTTGGAAGACAAGTCTGCTGCTGTAGCTACAATGCAGGTTTATGAATGTGGCTATATTTTGTCATCCATCTTTATGCTGGTCCTTTTCTTTCACTTCAGAAAAATGTGGAATGTGGCATTATAGTCAGCAATAGCATGTGTGCCCTCTTTGTGGCCTCATCTTCAACCCAGGCTATAGTCTGTCTCCACAACTCCATCCCTGTCACATAATCTCCCTTGCTTGAATTGTGTTGGTTAAAAACGTGAAAGAGTTAGAACACATAGTGGTGAACAAATAGCAGACTAACCACCACAATTTAACCAGATTTTTGTGAACTGTTTGACTTTTCCATGTCACCAAATGGGGTGATTCCCGATTTTAAAAGTGCAGTCTGACATATTAGTCTCTGCTGTGCACTGGGCTATATGAGTATTTCAACTGTGTTGAAAACCAGTTATCTGAGCCATCTCTCATGGTTCATCTGAAAGGTTCTGTCTACTGTGAGTACTTTTTTCTGTTTAGGGAAAGCTTCTTAACAGAGGTGAAACTATGAAAACTATGAAGCTTGTAGGTGTTAGGGTGGTGGGACTCAGTCAGCTGAAGTGAATCGAGCAGTTCCTTGAGCGTGCAATGAAGCTGATGCTCAAGAGAACTAAACTTGGATCCTCCACAGAAGGAGGGAGGAGCCCACACTGACGGGCCTGGAATCAGAACTGAAAAATTCGTATCTTCTTCCTGGATTAATTTGAGACCAGGCTGTAAGAATGGCTATCAGGTTCTCCATTTAAACCAAATGCAAAATCTGAGAATATCTTGGGAAATTGACTGCCAAAGTAAGTGGTTTCCCAGAACTGCTGCTTTTTAGACCCCTTGTGCTTGGCTTGAAGTGCTGCTTGTTTGTATTCAAATAGGACTATAAATGCTGTGTTCCCTGAGATGAGTGATAGAAGTCTGTGCTCTGTATACAGGTAATACTTGATCAACTGGGAAAAACACCAGAGAATTTTTTTTCAGCTCATTAAATCTTCCCTATTGTTTAACCATGTTAAAAGTAATTTTAAACTAGAAGAGAAGAATAAAAAGTCTATTACTGTGATCCGGTACTTATTTCATTATGATTTGATTAGTCAGATGATTTTGTTGTATAAACTTTTGTGCTTCTTATCAGGTATTTGTAGCATCATCAATATCTAAGACTTAGACTCAATGACTTTGGGATAGGACTGTCACGGAGTTAGTCCTACTTTAAAATATTTTTGAACAAGTCCATTTTTAAAAAGTCTATTGTTCTCTACAAAAGCATAAAATAAATACGTGAAATGTCTCAGTGATACTGCTGATAATATTTTTGCTGTTTAAGAGGGAAGGGAAGAGTTTATAAGCAGAAGAATGAAATCAAATTCATGCTCCATCTGTTATGCTAAAAAAGATAATAATATGGTAGTTTCTATTGCCTTGTTTTCTGTGTAATAGCAAAATATGCAAGGAGTATCGTTATTTGTCTGAACTTTATTTTTTCCTGTTTCCATAGGCTAAGATACTTTACAGCAATGCTTTCTGTTTAATTAAAAAAAAAAGACTAGTGCAAGCTACATCACACTTCACATTTCCAAGGATTAAAATGGAATAATATATGAAATGTTACTGTTAATTTAAAGTACAAAGTAGATAAAAATAACTTCAGATCTCACTTAGCGTATCATGCAAACTATTAGAAATCACTGACTTCACCGACGGTGTCTGTTTACAGACCTTATTTGCTGTATCTTATAAGTACTTTAAAAGTATTAGAACTAAACCCTTCCCAATAGTCAAAGCAACTACTTAAGGAAGAACATAGGAAGTATATTAAATCCTTATTTGCCGAACCATGTTCTTTTCCTACTCTTGCAAGGCATTAATATTTTGGAGCTGGGGGCACATGTAGATTGTCTTTCTTAAATTAAAGGAACAATTGGCTTCTCTACTGCTATATGTTGGGTATGTATTGCAGCACACCCCAGCCTGCAGATAGCGTGCTTTTCAAGTTAACATGTGGTAGCCAAATGATCCTTGGTTTCTTGAATGATTCCAGCATTAAACGTTAGGTTGAAATCCGTTTCAGATGTGTATGGGAAAATGATTCCTCACTAGGTCACCTGCACAAGACGAATCACAATTTTCAATTTCCCTTCACTCCCTCAATATAAATATTATGTGTGCATGTATATATATGTGTGTGTGTGTGTATATATATGTGTGTGTATATATATATGTGCTTTACAAACAGAAACTCTTGAGGTACAGAAAACTAACATGATATGTTGAGTTCTCGTGCAATGAGTCACCAGTAAACTCAGAGATCAGAAAACAAAACTTTAAGAGTTCCTTTACTGGTTTAATATCTACACAGAAGACAGCATTGTTTATTTTTGTTATTTGTTCTTTTTGTAACCTGATGGCGAGCAGAACTTTTAGATCTTCTGATCAAAACACAGGAACAGCAAGTAGACTTTTTTCCCTGGCAGATCTACTTCTGTTGTCCT